TACTACCGATTAATATTTTCTACCGGGCCTTTCTGAAAAAACTAGATTTGGTAGGAATACAAGTGAGTTATAAAATAAACATAGAGATGTCGCCCCCAGTGCTCATTCCATCATTAAAACCTGTGCGGAATAATTATTCTGTAACACTTTAATGGAATATACGTAATTCCAGATTAAAAAGTTATATAAGAACTGTCAAATTCCGTAATAAGCGTAGAAAAAAATAATTCTATAGAATGTATATTCTATGTATACATATATATAGAGTTATTTTCAAGTTGTATGTCAAGGGTGGATTGCATAAAACCTTGTAGAAGCATAAACTCAAATTTTTCGGTTTTTTAACATACAACCTTGTTATATTAGGGTGACGATATGTTGTGTTAATAAAAAATAATATAAAACAGATTTTTAAAATGTATTTATTAAGATAACAATTTTATATATAAAGATTGTACATACTTTTTAAATTAATAGATGAAACAACAAAATAAACTCTTAATTACCTATGCAACAAATATAACAATTAAATATAACATTAATAGTGTCTAATTTGGGGGCCTAATATTTATTTTCATATTTTATCTTTTGTAATTTCAATTCTGATTGATTGAAACTTAATAGGTATGTTGTTTTACTCTGTGGTATATACAAATTAGTAGTTTACCTATTTTTCCAAATAAAAAACACATTTAAAAATTAGAGATAAGTACAAAAACCATATACAAACAAATCACATTACTGTATAATATTTAATAAATACTATGTATAATAGTATTATATATATATATATTATACCTATAGGTATATGCACATTATCTGTGCATTATCTTAAGTTTAATACTATTTATGCTTTTTTTACTCCAATTAAGTAATTTTTATTATTAAAAAAATAACTTTTAACCTCACTTTCTCTCGATTTTAAAGATAATTATAGTTACCCTTTGTATATATGTAAAAATCTGTCTGTTAGACAGTTACAATCTCACTTTTCACAATTTAAATCCTGATTGGTTTAAATCGTGAATATTGAAATTGGCCAATCACTGATGCCTAGCTACGTAAATAATGAGTTTATTATTCCCGTTGTTAGGTGGGTACAATTAATACGAAAATACCAAAATAATCTAAATAATATGCAAGAGTTAAAAAATATGTTTATAAATTCAAATTTTAAAATGCATTCATATTAATTAAAAATTGTACAAACAGTTAACTGTACAATTGTACAAGTTGTACAGTACAGGGCTAGTGCGACGATCGACGTGGACGTCGACCGCCACTAAAGTCACATGGTTTTGGGCCTAGACAAAACCAAGGTACAAACAACAAGTTGTACACACAGAACAAACTGGTTGTACAAACAGGGTTACAGTGACGATCGACGCGAAAGTCGATCGCCACTAAAGTCACATTGTTTTGAGCCACCGTCCGCTCGTTATGAGCGTGATTCTGTTTATAAAATCAGTTTAAAGTTCAAAATTAAATTTTTAGAGAAGATTCCTGTCATACTGGACAAGATTACTATCGCAACGACGAGTCATAACTAAAGCCTGAATTATAGATTGCCTTCCTTCCTTCCTCTCGTAGAAGATGAACAATACGAAAATCGTAGTGCCATTTATAGATTTCCCTACGGGACAACAGGTTTTTGTTTTCTTCAACTTCTACGGGAGGAAGGAAGGAAGGAAGGAAGGCAATCTATAAATCAGGCTTTATGGCTCATCGGTCTAAAATAGGCTTGCTCTTGCCGAGTGTTTTGACTATCGAGTGAAAGTCAGGAAACATTCTCAATACTAAAATTGTTTGCGCAATTTTATTATTGTACATATTCATGACGTTCATTTAATAGTCAAAATATTCGGTAGGAACAAACCTAACAATATGGTAGTTACTATCTAGTGGGGAAAAATAATGTTTTAATAAATGAATGAACATTAAAATGTTAAATTATAAAAATATTGAAAAAAAAAATAAAAACAAAGATTTAAAAAAATTACGGATAACGTTGGGATATATGTAATATTAAATTACTAAAGCGATTGACTGCCGTACCCCCATAAAGACCATTCCATAAAAATTGGTCGATATATTCGTATAAGAATGGAGAACCAATTACTCCCAACCGCCGTAAATATTGCTTGAGCTTGCTCCAATAGCCTTCCACATGATTGGTACATACACCAGTCACTGGATCTCGAAAATATCGAGAATGGTTAACAGTGCGGTGTATATATCCATGATGTGGAAGACTATTGTAGCCTCTCCACATGTCGGTCCAGATCTCACTTCCGGCTCTCACGGTTTTGAACATGCTGTATATATCCCAGATTGTTGGTGGTATCATAAATCCCTAAAATCCATTTTTCGGGGACCACGCGCCCTCTGTGGTATTTCCTTTTCGTTATGACCGACTCATCAATTTGTACGGTTGTCCCAGGGCCTCCTAAAAGTAATAATAAATTTAGTTTACGAGCGCATAAATGGACTTAGGCAACTTAATCAATTTAATTAAATGCCGAGCGAAGCGAGGCGGGCTTGGTCAGTGCCTGAGCCCATTTTTGCGCGCGCAAAAATGGGCTCAGGCACTGACCAAGCCCGCCTAGGCTACTTGTGAACTTAATCAATTTAATTAAATGCCGAGCGAAGCGAGGCGGGCTTGGTCAGTGCCTGAGCCCATTTTTGCGCGCGCAAAAATGGTCTCAGGCACTGACCAAGCCCGCCAAGGCTACTTGTGAACTTAATCAATTTAATTAAATGCCGAGCGAAGCGAGGCGGGCTTGGTCAGTGCCTGAGCCCATTTTTGCGCGCGCAAAAATGGGCTCAGGCAATGACCAAGCCCGCCCAGGCCACTTGTGAACTTAATCAATTTACATAAATGCTGAGCGAATCGAGATTGGCGTGGTCAGTTTATTCTTTATACTTGGCACTTTTTCAAAACAATTAGGTATACTTAACTGTTGATAATATTATATAATATTGTACTTACCCAATAAAAATGGTTCTTGCATTAATTTCCAAGATAAAATGTCTCTAATATACCGAAAGGTTTGAATGGATAGCCCGCGATGAGTACCCGTGATCTGGGCGACGGAGCCAGTTCTGACTTCACACGCCCAGTACCACATGATGTGGATTACATCGCGGACAGACACTCTCATTTGGTGAAAGAAACTTCCCGATAGTACGCTATACTCCCTTTTACAAGGGCGGCAGTAAAATGCGTGATTAAGAGCAAACTGTCCATCCCTGGCTCTTAAATTACATATTCTTCGGCAGTTTCTTACCTTGCAACGAAACTGGGCTTTTAAAAGTCCAGCCTGTTGTAGGGCAGTAATTAGTTCTTCGTCAGGTTTCGAAGTTAACTCAAAAATGTTGGTAATATTTTGAATATTCATTTTTCAAACATATAACAAATACGCAAACAGCAAAAATAAATCACAATTGACACTTTATCAATTAAATGACAACTAAAATAACAAATTTTGTTTTAAAACAAAAGAAACAAAATTTGCAAATCATGCCATTAAATAAAATGCAAAAGTAAATTTTAACAGAATTTAATTGTTTAATTAAGTAGATACATTTATTGGTATTTGATTATTATTTAATAAAATATTATAATTCAAATTCAATCAATTCAATTTAAAATATTATCTTAAATTTCAATCTGGGTTGCCTACCTACAATTTACAAAGATACATATCATTATTTTCGTAAATACCAAAAATATTGTGCATACTTACTTAATAATAATATTTAATTAAAGTTTTTACATACATTTCTATTTGTTTTGGTACAATAAATATTTGATTTTAAATCAAAAAATAATAATTTTACCATTTCTAAACTTGGCAACATTGCAAGAAATAGCTTTGTCATTGGAAATTATGACAGATTAAAATTCAGTGTAGTACATAGAAAAGGTGACAGTTTTAAGCAAAGTTTGTTGAATTTAACACTATAAACATATATTTTAGCGAAAGTTTGGTTTTTCCGCACCTAAATATGCCTAAAATAGTGTATTATATTCATTTATGACATAAATTTACAATAAAAATTGAAATTTAAGGGTGAGTTAATGTATACAAGAACCGTCAAGACCCAACAATAGTAATTAAAAAACTTTTAGTAACTAATAAAAAAAATATCGTTCTTATAAAGAAATAAAAAATGATAAAAATACATGTTATTTATAATTGTGATAAATGTCCCAAAGGTAAAATAAGAAACATTAATATACCTCAAGAAACTCTTTGCCCATTATAAAAACACAACAAAAACTTCGAACACTTATTTAAACAGTTAGATTAAAACTCAACAAAACAAACACTACGATACAAACGAAATAAACATAAATGGGGTAGGTTACTCAATACCTACCGTAGGTATTGCGAAACGCATACGCATCACGCCAAATAAGTGCGATTTTCGCAAAATATTGGATCAATCTCAAGAGTCCCGCCCCCTAAATTAAAATCTTGCGAATTCGTAGGATCTGTCGAAACGTTGAAACGCTTTTCCCGCCAAATCAAATTGACCAATGGGAGCATTTTTCGAATTTTTAAAAGAATCTATGGAAAATAACACTTGTGCAGAAAAGTGTTATTTCCCACAGATTTTTCATAGATTATTTAAAAAAGATAGACAATATAGGATCATGTTGATAGCTTAAACTTAATTATTATAGTTTAATTTGTATGTAAATCTCATGAGCGAGTTCGTGAGATACATAATACACTGTGGCCATGGGCGCCGCTACATAGGGGAAAATTCATACCCAGAAATTCCGGTACTCCATAATTTGACGGTAAGTGCTGATCGTTATCATTTGTTCATTATTTTTTAGATAAATTAGATTTGTTATCTTAGATAGACATATTTCTATATACGAACTATCTATGTTGAAAAAGTCGACTATAGACAGGGTTGCCACCTTTTGAAAATAAAAAGTAGCGGTAATTTTAAAAAAATATCGCCCAATTCGCCCAATTAAAAAAATGTACAATTTACCGTACGAGCACCAATACTAAAACAAAAAATGTGGCTTTAAAAGTAATATAATAATATTATATAATATATATATATATATATATATATATATGTATATGTACCTACCTATACTGTTTAGGGAATAAAAGTTCTAAATTTATAAATACCTATAAAAGATTTATTTGGTATCCTTTCTTAAAAACACAAAACTTACAAACAACCTTTTTTGTACCATGTAAACAACCTATGCTAAAGAAATTTATATAGTATTTATAATAAATAAGTTAAAACAAATATTCAAATGTTAAATCTTTGAAATGTTCAAAAACAGATTCTTCTTCTTGATTTAAATTATCTTTTGAGGCATGTTTATAATCATACATCCCATTATTAAATTTTTGAAATATTCTTTTACTGGGCGTAAATGTATGGCAACAAATTTTAAACAAAGAAAAGTTACCCTTATCAATGCATCAAGCATGCTTCCACTGCAGTGGAATACTTATTTGGTTTCTTGACTTTGTTTTTAATATATTCATTACAGAAAATATTCTTTCCACAACTGCATTACTTAAATGTAAACTTAAAACCTTTATGACAAAAAGGGCTAATTCTTTAAAAATATATTCTCCTCCTGCATTGGTATAGTTTAAAACTTCAATCCACACACTAAAATAAACTAAATCCTATTCGTCATGACTATGACTCTCCAATCTGACATCTGACATCTTCATTGAAGATCAAATTTTGCAGCAAAATTTGATCTTGAAGTTGAAGTTGAAGATGTCAAATTGAAGATTCTTCAATTTGACATCTTCAACTTCAACTTCAAGATCAAATTTTGCCAACATAAAACGAAAATCTTAAAATTTTAGTAAGAAATTATAATAAATTTCGCCCAAATTTCATTTATTATTTTTTTTTTTCGCCCAATTTAGGAAATTTCGCAATCGTGTTTTTTAAATCGCAAATTGTATTTGTTTGTAGCCCATTTTGCGAAATTTCGCCCAAGGTGGCAACCCTGACTATAGAATAGATTTCTTCATAAGCCTAGTGAATTGATAAACAGATGGCGCTAATATATTGTGTCAAATTTAACTTAAAGTGTCAATTGTAAACTAGGTATGTTTTTGCATATTTTTAATATTACATTTTTGATTTACAAATAACATAATCACTGGTTTATTTATTATTTACCGTTTTATATTTTTATGTTTTATATTTTTCTTTTTGCGGTTGGACATATTTTATTTAAAATATTTAATTATTTCTATTTACTATTTAACATTTATTTATTTATTTTGTGTAATGGAATTTATCAAATTATCTACTATTACATTATTTTATTTATTCATATAATATTCATATATTTCTATATACAGTTTATTATTTTATTTGAGATATTTTTTTATTAATTTACAGTAGCAACGTTGATTGTAGAGTATAATATATATTATATTATATGGGTAGCAATATTTTTTTTTTTTTTGTGTATTATTTGTTTGATTAATAATGTTTTATAAACATTATTGTTAAAAAATCCATTAAAAGTTGAATTTTAAAGGTGTGTTAAACCTTTAAATATTTTTAGAAATGGATATTCGAAAATTTCTGACCACAAAAAAAGGCCTAGATCAGATGATAAAGGCGAGGCTAGTGTCAGTAGTTCTAATGCTGAGCAGACCTCCTCTAGCACACAATCCCTTTATTCCCAAGAGTGCGATGATTTGGGCGATGATGTGGGCGATGATTTGGGCGATTATATGGAATCACTTCACATAAAAGAGTCAAAAAAATATAGTTTACTTACTTGTCCATATGTACCATTTAAAAATTACGATTTTAAAAAAGATGCTACTGGAAAGAAACGTTTTTTTCAACGAGGCTGGTTAAAAGTGTATGAATGGATGGTTTATTCTAAAAAATTAAAAGGTGCACTTTGCAAACATTGTGTCCTTTTTAGCCCAAATGTTAAAAGAGGAGTTAAAGGAGCTTTTGTTATAAAAGAATTAACAGCCTACAAGCATTTACACGAAGCTGCAAGGAAGCACATTGAATCCGAATGGCACCGTCACTCTATTCTTACTAGTATGGATTTTATAAGAATTGCATATGGAAATAAACCCACAGTTAGCGAACTTCTAAATAATCAAGAAAGGGATATAATTGAACAAAATAGAAAAAAACTGTCACCAATAATTTCCACAATTTTACTTTGTGGGAAACGGGATATTGCTTTAAGAGGCTTCTCAAATTTAGGGTTGAAAGTGGCGACAAAATTATAGGAGAACATTTAGCTACATGCAAAAAAAATGCAAAATACACTTCTCACATGGTGCAAAATAAGCTTATTGAAATTTGTGGGGATGTTATTCGCGACCGAATTATATGTGAAGCAAATAATAGTCTTGGCTTCTCTGCAGGCCCGTAGCCAGAAATTTGGTTTGGGGGGGGCAAAACGTAGTAGGGTGGTAGGGGGGGCGGAAATGGTTAATGGATAAATACCAGTAAAGCGTGAAGTTGTCATAAAAAATATCGCTTGTAATCGATAGACATATTTTTAAAACATATTTAGAAAAATTGTAGGGTTCACGGAATTTCGGGGGGGGGCCCGGGCCCGTCGGGCCCTACGGCTGGCTACGGGCCTGCTTCTCTGTATTGGCTGATGAAACTGCTGATATAGCCGGAAAAGAGCAATTGTCAATAGGACTTAGATATTTAAGTGAAAATAATATAATAAATGAACATTTTATAGGTTTTGTGGAACTCACAGCTATGAATGCTGTTAGTATTTCCAGTGCAATTTTAGAAACATTATTAAAGTTCAAATTAGATTTAAGTAAAATGGTGGGCTTAGGCTTTGATGGGTGCTCAACCATGGCAGGTAAAGACAATGGGGTACAAAAACTAATCTGAGATAGATATCCTAAAGCTACTTTCTTTCATTGTTCTTCTCATAAACTAAACTTAGTTATAAATGATTTAAACTCAGTTCAATTAATTCAAAATTCGGTGAGTACAATTAATGAAGCAATTCGATTTTTCAGAGAGTCCGAAAACACGGGGGCTAGTTAAAAACATACCTTTACTATGCGAAACCCGATGGTCTGCTAAATACAAGTCAATTAGACTTTTTTACGAAAATTTTATTTCAATTATTTCTGCATTGGAAAATATATCAATAAATTCTAGTTTTAATGCACAAACAAGGTCAAAGGCTCATCAAGTTTTGACTTCATTATCAACCTCTTATTTTATCGTTTGCCTTACTATTATAGCCAAATATTCTGCATTATTGGAACCTGTAGTTAATAAACTTCAGGCGGTTTCAGTAGATTTACTGAATGTTAAAAACCACATAGATAAACTTATAACAATTTTTCAAAAGGATAGAGAAAATGCTGTAGTTACATTTAAAGATATTTTCAAAGAATGCTTAATATTTTCCAATGAACTTGACCTGGAAATTAAACCGCCACGATTAGCTGTCCGTCAAAAGCAAAGAACAAACGTTCCAAGTTCCTCTCCAGAGGAATATTTAAGAGTTTCTATTTTTATACCATATTTAGACTATAATAAATTCTCTAAAAACTCGATTTTCAGAAAACGTCACTACCGCATTTTCTTTGTCACGTTGTCATCCTTCGGCCATGAAACAAGGATTTTTTTACCATAGATAACTTGCAAGATATTTCAAAAACTTTTGAAGTCGAAAATTTAGAGGCAGAATACAAAACATGGAAACAATTTTGGGATAAAAAAGATTGCACAAGTGATATTATCACAATTATTAATAAAGAGTGCGATTTCTTTCCCAACATAAAAAAATGCCTTACTTATTTTGTTGTAATGCCCCCCACTACTTGTTTGGTTGAGCGCTCATTTAGCACCCTTAAGCTAGGATTAGACGGTGCAAATTCTTGCAGCAACTTTGTCGCGGCAACCAGGTTGCGGCGATTTTTTTTTGTTCACACAATGAAACTAAGCAGTTGATCAAACTTGTCCTAAAATAGAACATGTTCTATTTTTCATGCAATAAAGTTGCGGCGACTTAGTAACTTTTACAGGGGTTTACGAATTTTCACTAAAAAATAAGGTTGGTACTTAATATTTGTCAAATGGAATGACAGATAACAACCTTATTTTTAAGAGTGTGTAGTAGTCTATGGTGTATATCCTAAACAAATTTTCAGTTTAAGCGTCGAGTGTTTATAAAAATGAGCTCTCAGGGTTTTACGTGGGCAGCCTCAAACTCTTCATTTACTAAAGAAAATGCTCCTTTAGTATCCCTTTGCAGGATCCATGGCCTCACCCACCACTTTCTCTGTTTCTTATTTTTTAAGTTTAATAGTAAAACAGCACACCCTATCACTATTATGCTAGCGACTATAATACTATTTTCATCCATATTTGCAATGATAATACAATTCCGTTTAATAAAACATTAAATGTTTGTTATTGTTAATAATAATAAGCACTACCATTTATTTAATCTATGCACTAAACACTTTTAACGAAATAACAAAAACATACATTTAAATCAGAACAGGTATTTTTATTTTTCCCCTTAGTAATTTTCGGAAAAATTGGCAATCCTGGTGGAAAATTGCGCCAATTTAGTTGGTTCGTGTGAATACCTTGTGTGCAACAAAATCGCTGCAACTTGTTGCAGCGATAAAGTCGCCGCGAGAGGCTGCACCGTCTGATCCTAGCTTAAAGCTAGGGTTAAGACATGGTTAAGACATGGTTAAGATCAACCATGGGAGAAGCACGCCTCTCTGGTCTATGTCTTATAAGTGTGCACAGAAAATATGTGGAAGACAATGAAAGAAATATTATTGAGAATGTAATAAACAAATTTGGCTTGGAGAGGAGAAATTTAAGATTTTTATTTGATAACACTGTAGAGAAAAATGACATAGAATAGTAATAACAATGATAAGCAATTTTTGTGTGCAAACATTTATAATTATAATTATATATAATTATAATTTATCATAATTTGTATAGCGTATACATAAGACGGCTGTGCTACTAGAGGAGATTCCTCGGCGATACAATTTTTTTATATTTATATATTTTCCAAAAAACTGAGATGTATTTTTTGCAATATGTACCAATATAAATAAATAGGTAAATATACATATAAAGATGATATTTTATTTGACTTACGTTTAATGTGAACTTCTATAGTACAACTTGATTATAAATAACATCTATCAAAATTGTAAAAAACTTTAAGGCCCCCCCCCTAGACGAATTCCTTCCGGCGCCCATGACTGTGGCGTATAAAAACCAATGTAGGTAACTCTAAAAATTATTTTCTTGGGATCTTTGCAGTAAAAAATCTGAAATTGTTTGTGAATGTTTCTGATACCTTACAAAATCATATATTAAATTTTGAAGACATTCTATGCAAACTCTTCAAATGGAGATACTACCTTAAAAAGGAATCTAACACCAAACGATCAGTAGAAGTAGGACATTTATTTATAGGAGATGTAAGCAAAAAATCCTGTATTTTATAAACTGGAAAGCACTTATTATTATTAAAAGTACCTTTAATACAAGAAAATTATTACCCTTGCAAAGAGGTTAAGAGGACTTAAATTGTAAATTTAAATTCGAGTATTTTGGTAGCATTAAATTTTATACTTTTTTTAAATTTGTTTGTGTGTTTAATTAAACGAATATTGACTTTAATTTTTTAAGCCTTTATTTACATTATTACATTATTTTGACTATTAATTAATGGTGATTAATATTAATTATTTAAAAACATATATAATAATAATTTAAACCAACTTAGGTGGTACTTATAGTAAATTAAGAACTATGACTCGAGTTTTCATTTTTTGACTTAAATAATTTAGAAGTACTGTTACTATTCGATTTAGTTGGAGATTCTTTTGATGGGATATTAAAACCGTATGGCACAGGATTTTTTTCGCTTTTGGTGGATTTTTCACTTTTTCCTTCTTCCTCACTTTTAGATTTAGATCCTTCCTTTGAATCCTCTCTGCTTAGAACGGGTTTCACGTTACTTTCGAAGTTTAAGTAGCTTTTTAACTCCAATTTAAATGTTTCCTTAAACGATATTTTAGTTTTTCTGCTAACTTTAATTACGTAGATTAAATGTTCTATCATTACAATGAAGACCGCGCATATAGCTCCATAAATGGTCACATAAAACACTCCTTCCACATTCTGGAGTCCTAAAGGTGTAGCGTCGGCTGACTCACCTTCGCTCTAAAAAATAAGTTAGAATAATTTTGTCTGGGCATTTTAAAATTTGATATAAAGATACTTCGCATTGTCCACCCCCGCGTCGTTCTTCCCACCATTTTCTTCTTAAATTATCCAATTCACCGGATGCTTGCAGTTTTAAAATAGCCGTTGAAAGTTGTTGTCTGTATGGCGAATCTAAAAAATAGTAGGTACCTATATATATTTTTCGAAAGTCAAAGTGTTTCAAAATGACTTTATTTTTACAAATTTATACCCACTCACGGCCCAAACAGCAGCAGAGGCAAAGTTATCCGAGCAAAACAAAATTGTGTGTGCTTTTTTAGTGTTTCAGTGTTTAACTTAATAAAGCCTACCCTTAGCTGGGTCAAGTCCCTCACAAACCAAAATCCTGGCACACTTTTTATTAAAGTGTGAGAGTGTATGGTGAGGGAAATTTAACACATTGGGGATTAAAATTGCGCAACATATCGTGTGACTTTTTACTCTAGGGTTTTGTGAATTCTATACCGATCATTTGTGAGCCAATGAACTAAAACGTGTAATTCACCAAATTGGCGAAAAAATATGCAAACATGTTCATCAGCAACTTCTCTAATTGAGCGAGAGTCGTGGCTCAACAAATTAAAAATTAAAATTTAAGATGAAGGGCCTACCATACGTCCCCATACTCATACTTATACTCATCTGACCATCTGTTAAATTTGTTATTTTAAAAACAATTAATGTTGCTAAATTTGTAGCATAGCTGCTTAATTTTTTTATTTAAACTGTGTTTTGTGGTATTGTGCAATATAATAAGTGCGTACATACGCGGAAGTGAAGGAAAAACAATTGCGTTGCGAGAGTCAAATAAGTCGGTCGATAGCAATGACATCAAAAATAAAACAAAGAACACAAGTGCAGTGCAGTTTTTCCAACCACGCTATGGAGTGAAAATGCTTGAGGGCATCTTCATTATACAGTCCACACTCTAAAGAAAGTAAGTTTTTCTTCGAGCACCACGAAGACTCCTCAGGTATTATTAAAAGTAACGAAACACTTTTTAAACCCTTCAACCCATTCATCTTTTATATTGTTCCAATTTTCATCACTGTGGGCAAATTCAACTCTACAAGAGAGTTATAATTTTTAAAGTTATTCAGTACCTATACGAGTAAGCCTTTTTTGAATTATTTTTAAACATGCTTGTCTTTGTTCAGTATTTATATTTATTGACTCTGATGTTATGTTGGTTCTGAAAGCCTTAAGGGTGTGAAATAAACATAGCAATAATTTGGCTTGTGAAAATTCTTCAGATAATGATTTTCTCTCAGTCATATCTTTATCTCTCATAATTGTGTGAGTCGTGATCCAATTAGGATTTGCTTTTTTAAAAATTTGTAGCATTTTTTTTAATGCTTCTGCCGATTTACACGCCATAAGACACGTTGCTACTATTTCACAGTAGCCGTTTCCACCTATAATTATTAATAAGTACGGGAGCATTCTGACATTACCTCCTTCTTCTACTTCTTCTACCTTCTTTTAATGTACTAAAATATATTTTTTTTCAAGCGGCCATGATATGCAACCTTATATGCATGTATAGAGATAGTTGAAGTGCGTCTTTTTCATTAGCGGCAGACAAAAAAAGCAAAAAAGCTTAGGGATAGAAGTAAATCCATAGGCGACTCAATAGACGTCAAATAATAAAATTAATTTAGCATTTCATACAAAGCAATCACGATGTATTAATTATATTAATTATAATCGCATGGAATATTAAGTGATTATTTATTCAATTTTAATTGAACGAAATAAAGAACAACCAGTTTGTTAGTATAATATTATGATGATAGACGAGTCGCCAATGTCGGAACTCCAAACAAATGTCAGTACTTACGTCAAAATTAATTCAAGCGCACCATTTTGACAGAGCAGTGTTTATATTTAGTTTATCCTTTTTCTATGGTTTAGGATATTTATTGGCATTGTAAGTAAGGGTTATTTAGTTTTTTTAGTTTTTATCAATAATTTCTAATGCTTTTAGCTAAAGTTTTATCCCACATGAGTTATGAGTAAAAAAATAATGTTATTGCTTATTCTATTTATATTACGCCCTTGAAAAAAAAATTGTATATGTTATTTGGAGTAGAAGCTCTTTTTGTGCTTTGTACAGTTGCCTGCCTCAGCTACGCTTCGGCCGTCAATCTCTGTACTCACCACAAAAAGAGTCACTTCTACTCCTTATGACATAATCTACTATTTTTTTCAAGCGGCCATGATATGCAACCTTATATGCATGTATAGAGATAGTTGAAGTGCGTCTTTTTCATTAGCGGCAGACAAAAAAAGCAAAAAAGCTTAGGGATAGAAGTAAATCCATAGGCGACTCAATAGACGTCAAATAATAAAATTAATTTAGCATTTCATACAAAGCAATTACGATGTATTAATTATATTAATTATAATCGCACGGAATATTTAGTGATTATTTATTAAATTTTAATTGAACGAAATAAAGAACAACTAGTTTATTAGTATAATATAATGATGATAGACGAGTCGCCAATGTCGGAACTCCAAACAAATGTCAGTACCTACGTCAAAATTAATTCAAGCGCAGCATTTTGACAGAGCAGGGTTAATTTTTAGTTTAGGCTTTGTTATCTATGGTTTAGGATATTTATCGGCATTGTAAGTAAGGGTTATAAGTTTTTCTAGTTTTTATCAATAATTTGTAATGCTTTTAGCCAAAATTTTATACCACATGAGTTATAAGTAAATAAAATAATTATATTGCTTATCCTATTTATATTACGCCCTTGAAAAAAAAATTGTATATGTTATTTGGAGTAGAAGCTCTTTTTGTGCTTCGTACAGTTGCCTGCCTCAGCTACGCTTCGGCCGTCAATCTCTGTACTCACCACAAAAAGAGCCACTTCTACTCCTTATGACATAATCTACTATTTTTTAGGTATACCTATACAGTTAAAAATTGTAAATCTGTATTTTTTAAATATATATCTACCGGGATTTTCTTTTCCCTTTTCCTTCTGATACAAATTTTCGTCCTCCTTTTAAACAAGCATATACTGTCCGTTCAGGCTAAGTTGAGCGGTCTAAGGAATGTCACCCCATCCATCATCTCTATGTTCAGGCACAATTATATACATGTATTTCGGTAGCCGCTCTGTACGAACAAACGGCAAGCCGCCGCACTGATAAATCATCTTCTTGTTACCGAAATCTCGCGCCGATTCGATATTTAATTGAATTAACGGCCACATGATCCCCCACCAAAGCGCTCAACTTAGCCTGAACGGACTATACGACATAATGATTTTTTTCAGCTTTATCAAATCTGTTCGGTTTACACTTAATATTGCCTTTAAAGTTTTACAGTCTCTTAAGTACAACTGAACTAATTTAATTTTTCAAAAATGTTAATTTTTTCTTTTAGCTCTTCTAATAAAGAAAACATCTCGCTAATATAAAAAGAATTCATTTTAAAAAGTAAATTTTTACATTCCGCATTCACTTAACCTTAAATAAGTAGTCGGTAGAATAACATGTACGCTGAACGACCGAACCACCGGCAGACTAACTTCTATAGAAGTTATATAATTTATAAGTTATTCTACCGAATGTTCGGCAGACTAAAACTTCCATAAAATATTACATTATAACCTTAAATAATTTAATATATACATTAGGGTGATGCAAAAAAAATTTTTTTTTGAATTCTATGCAAGACCACTCGGGTTTTCAAAGAGTATCAAGAAAATAAAAATCTGTAAAAATTTGAGAGAAATCAATTAAAATTTAGAGGTCGCTCAACGCAATTGTTTAATTTAGAAAAATCACGCATCTCAAATGCATTGCTATAAACAAGTAGGCATATTTCATACAAATTTGAATGAAAATGGTTGAATTTTTTTTTGGTGGACTCTTAATGATTATTCTAATAAATAATGTTGTCCCGATTTCAAAAATTTTTTCATAATATTTAAAAAATATATATTAATTAGCAAATATAGCTTAGTTAACAAATAATTCATTCAATGTTTTTTTTGTTTCAAAATCTGTAAAAACATTGTTAATAGGTCTACAAGCAATTATTCATTCACAAAAACACTCGCCCCCATCGTTAAATATGAGAAAAAAAATAATATTTTAATTAACTACACTTCGCGTCAAATTTAACGCACCACTAAAAGTTTGTCACATTTTCAAAGTTGATTTTCTCGCGAACCGTCAAACCGAATTTAGTGATTTTTATAATTAATTGTAGGTTTATTCTTCGGTAATAATGCGTTTATTAAAATATTTTTTTAAATTAACATTTTGAGTATATACAGGGTGCAAGAGTGATAATAAGTTTTTTCCCGGAAATTTAAAACGCCCTGTGGATTGTACCAGCTATAACAGCTTATGTATCTTATAATCAAACTATAGCCACATCTTCTCTTAACATTTTGTTTTTTGATTCACCGCGTTATCTTTATTTTTAAATGAAATATACAGTTAAAGATTAAAACTCCAGTTTAATATAAAAATGTAAAAAGAACGATTGTAACAATAACAACAAAAATATTAACAAAATCAATAAAACCAACATTAAAGAATATCAATATCGCGTATTTCTGCCTCTACTTCTAATTACGGCTTCACATCGACGGCTCACACTCGAAACCTGATGTCTAATCTCGTCTTGATCAATGACATTTCATATTTCTCGTAGCATATTTGCTACGTCATCAAGGGAGGCAGGCAAGGAATCATGATTTCTTAGTCGTCTACCCATATTATCCCACAAATGCTCGATGGTGTTGAGATCCGGACTATTTGCAGGCCAGTCTAAAGTTTTACCACCCACCTCATGTAAGTACTCTTGCACTATATAGCATTATCCTGCATCAGTAAAAAATTATTACCGGGCGAAAGGGACAACATGCTCAAATAAAATGTCCTCGATATATCGTACACTATTCATGGTACCTTAATCTTTAAATGTATATTTCATTTAAAAATAAAGATAACCCGGTGAATAAAAATACAAAATGTTAAGAGAACATGGGGCTATAGTTTGATTGTAAGAGACATATGCTGTTATAGCTGGTACAACCAACAGGGCGTTTCAAATTTCTGGAAAAAAACTAATTATTACACTTGCACCCTATATATACTCAAAATGTTAATTTAAACAAATATTTTAATAAACGCATTATTACCGAAGAATAAACCTACAATTTATTATAAAAATCACTAAATTCGGTTTGACGGTTATATATGTATATACTCAAAACTTAAATTTAAAAGAATTTTTTAATAAAGGCATCATAACCAAAGAATAAACCTCAATTTTAAAACAAAAATTACCAAATTCGGTTTGACGGTTCGCGAGAAAATCAACTTTGAAAATGTGACAAACTTTTAGTGGTGCGTTAAATTTGACGCGAAGTGTAGTTAATTAAAATATTATTTTTTTTCTCATATTTAACAATGGGGGCGAGTGTTTTTGTGAATGAATAATTGCTTGTAGACCTATTAACAATGTTTTTACAGATTTTGAAACAAAAAAAACATTGAATGAATTATTTGTTAACTAAGCTATATTTGCTAATTAATATATATTTTTTAAATATTATGAAAATTTTTTTGAAATTGGGACAACATTATTTATTAGAATAATCATTAAGAGTCCACCAAAAAAAAATTCAACCATTTTCATTCAAATTTGTATGAAATATGCCTACTTGTTTATAGCAATGCATTTGAGATGCGTGATTTTTCTAAATTAAACAATTGCGTTGAGCGACCTCTAAATTTTAATTAATTTCTCTCGAGTGGTCTCGCATAGAATTCAAAAAAAAATTTTTTTTGCATCACCCTAATATACATATTTTATATAAATAAACACAATAATTATATCAATACTTGTTATAATAGGCCATCCTCGATAAATAAACTGAAACGTCAAATTTTTTGATACAATTGGCTCAAAATCTCGCAACTAAGCATAATACGTCAGAAAAATTTTTTCCAAGACACCCTAAACGAAAACTGGATGAGTCTACATAAACAGGAAGACCAGAGCCGCAACTTAAAAGAGGTGCTATTTTTGTCAACAAAAATGGGACAAGAAAACTATAAAAAGTTGTAACAGTTGTGCAAAACTCATTTGCGATCTTTACTCTAACTTCTTTTTCTATCAAATGTGGGAAATAATGACTTAAATATTTACTGAAAGATATTTCTTTTGTTAATTTTGTAATTGAAAAATCTTTTGGTTTTTTTTTATAAAAATAATATTAATCCATATTAAGTCATCATATTTTGCAAAAGTATTCCCAAAGGTTCAAACAAAGTATTCCTGCAAAGCAAATTAAAAAAAATACAAATTAATAAAAAATTAGCATGGGATCAAAATCGCGCCTAATTGTGGGAGCCTAACTAAGGGTTAACTTTCAAACGGGCTATTTTAGTTAAGGTTTAAGGTTAGTTTGTGGATCGGTAAGTTTTTATTACTTCAACAATTAACAAAATATTTTCAAAAATTACGGAAACCACTTTTGTCTTCTAATCTTAGGTCTTTTATTAAGCCATTACCATAATGTACTCCTTGTAGCACCTGTTTTTGCCACCATCATTTTGTTTTATTTTTAATAATTAAATATGCTTTAGAAATACTAGCAGCTATTAATATATTTTAATTAAAACATCATTGAATTTTGACAAACTTTATATTTTTTGATTTGCCGATATATCAACTTTAGATGTGGGCAATAGCTATTTGTGTATTAAGAGCGCAAAGTGTCACTTTGCGCTCGAATTACACACAGGATTTTTTCTACAACCGGTGTTTCTATAGGAATTTTTGGTAAAAATTAATAATTATTGATAACAAATTTGACGTTTGTGTTAAAAGTCGCAAATACACTAAACGTTTCTTTATTATGGTTTCCATGGTATTACCATGATGGTAACTAAGCGAGCGACAAAGTAACTTTGTCGCTCGGCGAGGGAAAAAACGCTCGCTCCTCGGAAAAGTGCAACTTTGCGCTTTCTTTTGGAAGCGCAAATTTGTACTTTGCGCTTGGTTGTAGAAAAAATCCATTTGTTGATTGCTGGTAGAAATAGATACAGTCGGCCGACAATGTTGCCAACGATTGTATCCAAGTATGTACTAGCCTTAAGGATATACTTTGCCAGAATTTTTAGACTGGACGTTGGTTTTTCTTTTGCAATATAAGCCCGCAAAATACGATTTTGCTTAATTAGCTAGACAGTTTCAGGCAGTAGATATGGCAGAACATATCAGGTATAAATATATTTGATCCGTTTTTTTTAATTAGCATAAGGTAGATCGACTTTAATTCTTTCATAGGACACAATAGGTGACTGCTCACAAGTTTGACGACAGGATCTGAAAATGATTAAAGTCCTGTGGTATTTCCATCCAGGTATCTAACCAACTGTCGAAGTGGCAATTTTTTGCATGTAATTGGCATATTATTCTTTGCACCGGTCGTTTAAGATGAAATTCTAACACCACCGTGAGATCCAGTGTTTACGACATGATTGAAGGTATTGTCTTAGAAGTACCATTTTCAGGTGCTACACGTCCTAAATATTCGCTACCTGGTTCCTAGATATACTGCTTTAACAAAAATCAGCTCAAATTAGGGCCACGTTTCTTGTTTAATTCCGCGTCTGCAATGATGTAGCTTTTTTTTCGCCCCCCCCCCCTCAGTAGATGTCAGAGTCAGAGTTGATCTAAAATACCTAGTAACGTAGTTTAGCATAGCCTTCGAGTTTTAAGGGGGCGTTCTTTACAAATTTACCTTAACTTATATTTTTTAGGGTCCCCTCGGGATTAAATATTGAAATAAAAGAAATTTAAAAAATACCCTATTAAACTTTAACCTTTACACAACTTTTTTACTACAGGCATAGAAAAATTAAAAAATCGACCCACCCTAATACATACATATCTACCTTATACCATACATATTATTACGACATTTTAAATGCCGACCGTTTTTCCAACTCAATTAAAAAATGCAGATTTTGATTTAATTTACTTTTTCTCATAGCAATTCCATATCCTTTGTCGTCCAAAAGGTTTCCGTACATTTGTAAATCGCAATGTCTCTGTGTTACATAATTAATGCTAGTGGATTCCATGAAAAATGCATATTGTTCCTTTTCTGCCAAATCGACTCCATAATTATTTTCCAGGGGCATGTCTTCCGAATGTTCCTTCATATGCTGATAAATTTTTTTGTATAGGGGATTTGTAGACTCCTAAAAATAAGCATATATATTTTATATAAAAACTAAAAATCTAGATACCCTAAAAAATATTTCGGTAGCTCCCCCAGATTTGGATCCATATCGGATTTTAAATTTCTCCGCATTTTCAACTAAACTTGCCACGTCTGTAAACAAATTAATTGGATTTTCAGTAGCTAAAAATGCAGCTAAGTTTGCTGTATAAGACGAAACCATAATTAAAATAAAAAACCACCATACGCCTGCAGTCATTCTTGTAGAAAGACCTCTGACAAAATAAATTTAGAATATAAATAGTTAAATACATTACCACCTTACATCGGTGCAATTTCGGAACCCTGCTGCATAAGACCGCCAGTGGCAAACCAAAAGGAGTTAGCGAAACTCCACTGATTAATAAGATACTCCGGTTCTTCGATACATGGATACGGATTGGTCCATTCGTCCACGCTTAAACGTCCCATAGCGTAAAGAGATATGGATACTACAAAATAGGCCATAGCCAAAGCGGCCCATGTTTCAATTGCAAATGGGTCTGCAAATGAGAAAAAGCTGGGCGGAGCTTTTCCCGGTTTTCTAAATAAAATACTGATGCCCAAATTCATAAAGGGTGTAGTAAAATCGACGGCCTCAGCTCTATCTGAAGTTATCGTAAGATCGGTGATTGCCAAATCTGCTCTCTATTTATAACAACAATATAAAATATAATATATTATTATATACACACATCAGAAAAGTCTAGGGATATTTTTACAAAATCATAAACGAGATAAAATTAATTTATGTATAGTTCTAATTGTACTTGGAATATATGTATTAATAATATTGCTTACTATAAAAATATTTGTTGTTTAAAAAAAAATTAAAAAACATAACAAAAATTTGATAAACACGAGAGATGAAAAAAGTAGAAATCCTACACTTCATTTGGTTTCGCATTAAATCATTCTATAAAGCTCTTATTTAGTGGGTGCATTTAAAATATTGTGTTTTACCATGGAACGACGACATTTAACTTTAGACGAAATGAATCGAGCGGTAGGCCTTCTTTAAGCTGGCATGCGGCAAACTGAAGTAGCTGAGCGGATGGGTGTTTCTCAAAGTGTTATCAGTCGATTATGGAGCCGTTTTAGGGAAACTGGTAGTCCGGCAGAGCAACATCCAGGACGTGGACGCTCAACAACTGCAGCTCAAGATAGATTTTTACTCTTAACGGCAAGAAGGCAACCTACAATTACAGCACTTGAATTGGTTAGGGCTTTACAAAGGGCGGATAACGTAATCATTGGCCGAGACACTGTGAGAAATCGTCTTCATGAAGCTTATCTCTTTAGTCGACGACCACTTAGATGTCCACCTCTTTCGAGAGGCAATCGCGCTGCAAGACTCGACTGGTGTCAACATTATCAAAATTGGGTTGAAAATGATTGGGATACATTTTTATTTACAGACGAATCCAGGTTTGGATTTCATCTAGATTCTCGTCGAACAAGAGTGTAGAGACGATCTGGAAATGTGGAACGTTTAAGACATGTTCAGGAAGTGCACACATACAGAGGTGGTACGATAATGGTATGGGGCGGAATAATTATAGGCGGCAGAACCGAGCTCGTTTTTCCAAATCGCTTCCTAACAGCTCAGCTATATCTGGATACTATTCTTCAACCCATCGTGCATCCATTTGCAGGCGCTGTTGTTTCACCTAATGCATGATAATGCTCGTCCACATACCGCACGTATTGTAACCAACTGGTTGGACAACAAGGGAATTGAAGTTTTACCATGGCCAGCACAATCCCCGGACCTTAATCCGATTGAGCATGTGTGGGATATGCTTCAACGTAGAATTACTCCACATATGGACAACATTCACAATGCGTTTCGATTTAGGGAGCTTCTGACAGCAGAGTGGGCACGTTTACCCCAAGGAGATATTGACAATCTTATTTTGTCTATGAACAATAGATGTACAGCAGTAATAAACCAACGTGGAGGTCATACTTTGTACTAAACAGTTTTTTTTTACATACTCGGGAGTTTTTACAAAACTCTAAAAATAGTGCTTTACACAATATTTTTTTTTATAAATCTTGGGGTTGTTTTTTAACAAAATATTTAATTTTATGTAATAATAAACACTTACTTGTGTGTATATATATATTTTTTTAAGCACATAAGAGTTCAAAACCCATAATTTGTTGAATTTATTAATTGTTTATTAAAATATAATATATATATATATATATATATATATATATATCTATATTATATCTATAGATATAATTATTATATACTATTTATTTTTAAGCACATATGGATCAAAATCAAAAAGGTGAAAAACCATAATTTGTTAAATTTATCAATTGTTTTTTTTTACAAATATTATTTGTACTTAAAGTACACAAAATGAATTAAGTACTTAATAAGCCTTTAACACATTATCTATTTGACAATTCAAAAAAAATATATCGAATATGAGTGGGTATATCTAGTTCAATATTAGGTGGATACCATGATACACAAAAACCGGTATGCTGATGCGCATGTTACAGCTATCTAGATAGGGCTCGCACCGTGTGAAGTCATGTGCGAACCAAAAGCTGGCGGGTAACTGGGTTGGAATGTTATTTGCACTGCAAATTCACGTTAAATTCGAAAATTTATAAATATAGGGACGGCCTGGGTGCAATTATTAAGTGTTAAGACAAAGTTAAATTGGCAGCAAGCGCTTTTAATACTAATGTAACATCCCAGCTAGCACAGACACATCCCAGCAATGTACAGCGATGTAAAATTGGGTACATTAAGGTAGTTGTCGTGCTATAAGCATACCATCAGAAAATTTTGAATTTTTGTATACTTATTAAGGACATGACAATACATATATCCTTAAAATTTGAAGTCGATTGACCGTCTATAACCCGAGATAAATTCAATTAAAAATTGGATAATTAACATGGATTGTATAGGCTTTCTGTAGTTCTGTACCAGTTTCTTAGTTATACAGAAAAAACTAACTGTCAGAAGCTTTCAAAAAACTAACATTGTTTTAATGTATTTTTGCTGAGTTTAAAAAAAAAATAATTAAAAATTTTTGACCGTCCAATTGTTTATAAATAACCGTTTAAAGTTCAACAATTTGTAAAAAGTATACATCACTAGTGTCAGATAAAAACAACTTGGCAAGGCTGTACGCGAGTATAGATATAATTTCCGCAGTAAATTCAAACGTCTGATTCAGTCTCCAATATATCTATTGGTTGAGCATAAGCGACGTTGCCGGATTAAAACTTATGAAAATATTTGAAAGTATTACGTAAAAATAACGTCTCCAGGGTACAGTCTTGCGAACAAATTATGAATCACTTAGCTACCAGCTCGTATACTTTTACGGTGCGTATAATCTAAAAATTTTTGACAATATTGTACCACGACAACTACCTTAAACCTCCCGTGCAATGTACTGTTGATATCGCATGTCCATTGAGGCAACCTCCGAATTTCCGCAACATGTTTACATTGGACAATGTTTTCGAGATGTTAATTTGTTACGTACTGAAAACGTTACTTTGAAACATCAATTAAAGTATCAAAAAAACAAACAAACCTCTTATATACATATTTTATTAATGAATATAGTATGTTTCGATGTAAGGTTCCATGAACGTAACTTATTGATATAGAAAGGCTATAGGAAAAGATACAGGCATCTGGCAAATCATTTTATGTTTTTATACTTCTTTTTTAGTTTTTGTTTTATAAAATGTAGAAAAACTAAAATTTTTAGATAAAATATCTATATTATTTTAAGTTTTGTTACATTATAAAAAAATGCATAAAAAAGAAAAACAAAAACACAAAGTAATTTGCTTAATATGTAACTTTTAAGGGCCGGTTTTTCAATCGTTGGTTAAGTTTATCTTACGGTTAACTTTCTTAGATACTATTGTGTTAACAATTGTATCTAAGGAAATTAACCGTAAGATAAACTTAACCAACGATTGAAAAACCGGCCCTAAGAGAAATTAAAATAACTAATAATACTTAAATTAATATATTTAGGTAAACAATATTTATATACACACTGTACAAAGACAACAAATTTAGATACAAAATATATATTACCATTTAGAGGATGAGATAAAACATAAGACAATTTTTAACTTTTTGGAAAAGAGTTTTTAACGAATACAAACATAACAAAATTTATTGTCGCGATCGTTTAGAACAAATTTTGCTCTCTAATATGTTAACATTAAAAAAAAGTAAAGTACCTATGAATGTTGATGGCATAACATTTGTGTGACTAAGCTTATTTCATTCTTTTTCTTGTCTTATACTCCTTTGCTTGGTATGCTTGCATAGCCATTTAGAATAAGCAGTTTTTTTCCTTCCTTGAACATTTGGTCTTTTGATAAATTGTTTCTAAAAGTCAAGACATCAAACCACATCAGGGTGGAACCACATGTAGGTAGTAGTTTTGGTGACATATATGGAGCAAGTATACTTGCCCCAAAATCACCACATAAACATTATTTTTTTTTTTCTTCTGATCCCATAGATGCAGTGCCGGTTTAACAGGGGTTTTTTGGGGACTATAGCACCGGGCGGTAAATATTTTTGGGGCGGTACCGCGTACCGCCCATAATTTAAAAAAAAATAATTAATTGTTAGAATTTAGAAAAAAAAATATTGCGACACTGCGTCGGCGGATACAACGGATGAGAAAAATGTTGTTAGAGTTGAAGCATCTTCTCCATCAGAAAAACTTGATTTATTGCATGGAAACGGAATAATTTTAACTTTTTGGATAGACGTTTTGCAAAGGGTTAATGAAACCAATAAAGCAGTTCAAAAACAAAATATGGATTTAAGCACAAATGCTCATCTTTCGTCATTTTTAGTTGAGAACTTTGATTTTTTACGTGATCATTTTGATCATTACGAGGAAAAAAACGAAAATTATGCTCAGAAGCGGATAATCATAAGAAAATTACAATTTGAAGAAAATAATTCAGAGGCAAATTTAAGCAAAAAAGAAACAATGCGAACAATATGTTTTATTTTAATAATTGACAATCTATAATCCGATATCATTTGTCGATATGATAGCTAGAAATCTGGCACAAACAAATTTGAATTTTTGTTTAATCTAAAAGCATAAATCTTCGTGGAGGATTTGGATGAGTTTTTTCCTTTCGGAAATAAAAATAGAAACTTCATTGGAATTAGTATAAGTTTTATAAGAAAATAAATTAATATCTTCATTTCCGAATATTAATATTTGTCTGCGAACTTTTTTTTATAATGGTTTCAAATGCAAGTGGTGAACGATCTTTCTCTACTCTAAAAAGGGTAAAGAACTACCTAAGAAATACAATTCCCCAAGAAAGATTTAACTCCTTAGCAATTTTGTCCATTTATCAAGACCTGCTAGATGAAATAAATGTAAAGTGTTATAAAACAATTCGCTACTATAAAGACTTGAAAACAACCTTTTAATTATTAGTTTTAGGATTTCTCAATATTTATTTAAACCAAAGAATAATGTTTTATTTATTTATAACTTTTGATTAGTTTTTATTAGTTTAATGAAACAAAATATTAAACTTTTATTTTTTAATTAGTTTTTCTTAGTACTTAGTATTGTTTATATAAACCAAAGAATGTTTTAATTTTT